TTGGTGGACTAGAGGAACACAGTATACATATCATATTTGGATTTTTGATACAGTATATATAAAGTTTTTGATCAGTATCTCAAACTCCTAATTGAATTTAATTAAAAAAAGAAAAATAGAAAATTAGCTTGGATAAAAATCTATTCATATGGATTGAAAACTGTCTACCAATACTGATAATTACTGATGGGCTACAACAGGGTACTGTATGCATTAGGATTAATCTTTGTAACAGGATTGTCTGTGCCCTTTAAGGTAGTAATCATTTGCAGCAAAGTGACCATGTTTGCAGGCTTGGGCCCTTTAAGGGGGAGGGATGTACTTTGTTGGGGGATCTGGTTAACTGTTGCTCCCTAAGGGCCATGTGACAGTCATGTGACCAGCTGTGATATATAAGGGAAGCCTGTGGATCAGTCACAAGAGGGACATTCAAAAAGAGTGGAATAGTTGGCTACAGCGAGTGAGAAATTTTGGAGAAAGGCAGGAGAATTTTGTCTTTTTTTTAAGGTATGCAGGAACATATATGTTTGCTATTTTAGGTGTATTTTGCAAGATCGTGTATAACAAAGAATGTGCATGGAGGTGGGGGGAGTACATAGAGGATATGTCTATACTAACACTTTTAACCTTAAGTTATTTCATTGCCATAAGCAAAATATGTTTTTATATCAGAATGAATGATCTACAACAAATTATCATGTCAATGTTTTAAAATAATTTCTAAAAAGTCTAAGGCAAAATATAATTAATTTTCTGTTAAGATTCTATCTGCATATCAATTAAATAAAACATTATTATCTTGCAGTTCTAGAAAAAAGGGATTTCAAGGCTGGAAATGTAAAACTGAGGTTCCATAAATAACCTTAACTCTCAACCATCCCCTGACACCAAGCCACCATAAAGCCAAATAACAATTTCACACCACATTTCTAATATGCACCCAAAACCCTAGTATCCCAGTGAACACAGTAAAGATATCAACAACTAGAGTTATATGATTATCTCAGCAATGCAATTCCTAACTTTTGGCTCCAGTTCATACTGGAAATATCATCAACTACCAGACTGTACATACAGAACTACCACCCTCACCACCATCATTCAGGAGCACCTACAAAGACAGACTGCTTCAAATTTAACCACCCAGTGGCAGTAAGAAACACCTAACCTCTCTATATACAGTCCATAATTACTATCTCATCGCCACTATTCCTTATAAGGCTATGAGCACAATCTTCATCCTTCAAAATATATATTGTTTGGGTTACCTCTGATAATTGCAATGACCTGATGTGATTAAGATACTGCTCCAAAAAATATGTGGACCATAGGTGGCATACAATGTGACAGTAAAGGTTGTTTGTGAACCTTAATTATGAATTTCCTATGTCACAAACTTTTATTTTTAATAACTCCAATATTCTAGTAAAATTATTTTAATTTAGTTGAGATTTATTTACAAAATTAAATACATCTTAACAACTGTTTTTTCTATTATGCATTTGCCTTCCAGTAATCTTCAAAGGAAAATAATTAATTCTGGGGCTAAGTACTCTTTTTTAAAACATGCTGATATCACTTAAGTGCTATCAGCATGTTTAGTTCTTTGCCTAAAAGAACCCTTAGAAATGACAATATTATGGAGGTGATGGCCACAATTTCATAGTTAAGGCAGTTTCATTTTGCAATTAAAGCAGGGATTCAGCCTTTTTTTTATATATATGAAAAATACAATGTATCCTTCCCAAATTTATAGCTGTTCCTCTTTGAGTATAGAATTTTCTGAGAATTTATAAGTAAATGTTAAGTATCAGGGGGTAGCCATGTTAGTCTGTATCCACAAAGACAACAAGGAGTCCGGTGGCACTTTAAAGACTAACAGATTTATTTGGGCATAAGCTTACGTGGGTAAAAAAACCTCACTTCTTCAGATGCATGGAGTAAATAAATGTTAGTTTGAGTTAAAATTAATTAAAAACTGGGCCCTTTGAGAAATGTAAGGCAGTCTTTTCTTTTTTCATAGAATCATAGGAAAGAAAGGGACCTCGAGAGGTCACCGAGTCCAGTACCCTGCACTCATGGGCAGGACTAAGTATTATCTAGACCATCCCTGATAGAGGTATGTCTAAACTGCTCTTAAAAATCTCCAATGATGGAGCTTCTATAACCCCCTCTCCCCCCGTGGCAACTTATTGCAGTGCTTAACCATTCTGACATTAGTTAGTTTTTCCTAATGCCCAACCTAAACCGCCCTTGCTGCAATTTAAGTCCATTGCTTCTTGTCCTATCCTCAGAGGTTAAGAAAAACAATTTTTTCTCCCTCCTCCTTGTAACCATCTTTTATGTATTTGAATACTGTTATCATGTCCCCTCTCAATCTTCTTGTCTCCAGATTAAGCAAACCCAATTTTTTCGATCTTCCCTCCTGGGTCATGTTTTCTAGACCTTTAATCATTTTTGTTGCTCTTCTCTGGACTTTCTTCAGTTTCTCCATATCTTTCATGAAATGTGGTGCCCAGAACTGGACACAATACTCAAGTTGAGGCCTAATCAGCAGAGTAGAGCAGAAGAATTACTTTTTGTGTCTTACTTACAACACTCCTGCTTATACATCCCAGAATGTTTGCTTTTATTTGCAACAGTGTTACCCTGTTGACTCATATTTACCTTGTGAGACATTATGACCCCCAGATCCCTTTCTGCAGTACTCCTTCCTAGGCAGTCATTTCCCATTTTGTATGTGTGCAACTGATTGTTCCTTCCTAAATGGAGTACTTTTTTATTTATCCTTATCGATTTTTTCCCAAACGATTTTTAATAACAATAATGCAGATACTTAAAACTTTACATATAGTTATAATCAAGCGAAATCTTGTGAATAAGTTATGTTAGAAGAAATTAAGTTGCAATCATTCTAAGTTGTTAATGATTTTTGTATCTAGTTGTCATGATTATATAGGATCAGGGAAAGTCAGTTCAACATCTCCAATAAAGGGCCATTGTGGCCTCAGCGATAACTCAATCAATCGTCATTGCCATTCTATAACTAATTTAAATGTAATAATTCTTTTGGTTTTAATGACTCTGTGGTATGAGGGAGACTGCACATTTGTGTGAAGAGTTTTCACTGATAGATTACTTGGCACAATTGCCACTGCCCTTTGAGGTTCCATAGCTCATTGTGGGCGACATTGCTTGAAAGGCTCCATGTGACTCTGCTGCCTCTACTCCACCGTGCACCAAGGCAGTATTGCCTAGGGAACTAGGCAGGAGCAGAGGTTAAGCCCTTAAAGTTCAGCAATATCAGAACCTGGGAATTGGGCTCTCCCCTGCCCATCCTTTCGCAAAGAGTTGTTATCTGTAATACAGTCCTCTAAACCGATAAGTCAATTGCAAAATGATGGCCAGATTCAGCTGTACATTTTGGCTACTTTGTGGTGCTCTGGCAATGCAAATCAGGTGCAACTGGCCAGCATGCTCTGGTTACTTTGCAGTGCTCTCATGTCCCAGTGAATCTGCCTTAAAAGTTTTAAGAAAATATTTAAGTTGATACTACATATCTTTGAATCATCAGAAATATCCCATAACATTCTCTTTGGGTTTCTTGTTTGGTTTTCTGACATTTTTAATGACCTTTACAAAAAACAAAAACAAAAAAACAAAAAAACAAAAAAAGGAAATTTCCAGACAAACAACTATGTTAAGATGGAGTTGAGGTTGAGAGTACTTAACATCTATTTAAGAGTAAAAAGCATTATGGAGATGTTATAATCAGTCCAAAATCAAGTGTTTCAAACCCAGGAAATTCAGAGTTAAGTTAGTACTTGAAAGAAATCCAAACATGCTAAATTACAGAATTACATATTTAAGGCACTTAAGCAACCTTAATTCTGTTCTCTAGTGACACTGTGAAGGGAAAAAGTGCAACCTCTCTCCCAGCTGCCGGTGATTTAAAATATCAAGTTAATTTTACTCTAACACTAAAATACCTTAATCATAATCATATAGTTATTGCATGGTTCACTAGAATGCAGAGTTAAAGGTTTTTTTTGTTGCCTTTATTGTGACTTTCTTACCTTAACTTATTTGGATGTCTTTTAAATGTAACCTTAACTCTGAATTTCTTAGGTTTGTAATGCTTGGTCTTGAGTCAATTACCACTTCTCTGTAATGTTTTTCCCTTTAAATTACTGAACTATACTCTCAACCCTAACTCTATTTTAATCTCCATATCTGTCTGGGAATTATATTGTATGATTCAAAACACGGGAGTAGATTGTGGTTTTACCATACGCCAGTATGTAGCTGCGCTCTCCTGGGAGTAGAAGAGAAACCACATCATGAATGTCATAGTATAGTTTCTGATTCCCCACTTTCTCCAGGAGAGAAGGAAACTGTGCCAGCTTTTTACCTGGTGCAGATTCCTTCCACCTCTGCTTCTCAACACAGCGGAGCAGGCATAGTGTCAAAGTTCTGGTCAACAGTGTAGGAAGGGCAATACCAGCCTTGCAGAGGTTTCTCTTCCCTCCATACCACACATACTGTGACCTGTAAGGTGTGTACCCAATATTGGAGAATAAAAGGGATGTCTTATATCTTCTTTCTCCCTTTTGCAGGCACATAGTGCAGGTCACATTGTGCCCTCTATTAGCACTAGGGTAACTGTATAGTAGAATAATTAAGCATAGTGTTTAGGAACATTACTCCCGAATACTATAGTATTTTTAATTTTTGTATGAGGGATGGAACTCTATTCTATACAATGGCAAGTTTTAGTCAAAAAGCCTTTTTTTTTTTGGTCCTCTGAAGACAAGGGTTCACAATGTAAGCTATGAGAGACATTCATCTGTACTTGTTCCCTACTGCTGCTACTGCTCCTTTGCTGGGTATCACCTAATCTGTCCAGCGATACTGCACAATCAGGTCAATGAAGGAAATTTCTAGAAGTTAGGAAGTTTATGTGCTAAAGGGCAGACTGTTGTGCATCCAGGATATCTCACCTCTGGAGTGACGTCTCGTGGTGCAAACCCTGTTCCTCCAGTTGTCAAAATCAAGTTAAGTTCCTTTTCATCACACCAGTCTATCAGTGTCTCCTGAAAGAGAATATCAGCATTGTCAGATTTGGCATATAATGTTAATACTGAAATCTGAAAAATGCCTAAGGCTTAAAAATCTTCAAGTAACAATAATTAAACTCAGATTCATATATTCAATGAAGAAAATTTTTAAGACATTCCACATGACAATTTATACGGATACTTTTCTCTCTCTATCTTTTTGTCTTTATGACCAATATATGACAGAGTAATTTGGGCACCAATACCAATGTGTTTTGGAAATGAAAATGGATATTGATTCTCAATGAAAATTGAGAATTCTTCCCGAGTCCCAAACGAAAAATAAAAAATTGTAATTTTAACACTTTAATAACTTTTTATTACAATTCTGAACTACACACACACATTCCAACATAGGTCTGAATACACACATAGACCTCAAGGGTATTTATAGGCTCTTAACTTCCATTGATTTCAATAGAAGTTAGGAATCTAGATACCTTTTATAATCTGGGCCTAAATTCCCCAGCATATGTCAATATACTATATATATATATATATATATATATATATATATATATATA